TTTATATCTTACAATTATATGTAAAATTTTCCTATAATTTTATTTTATTTTTAAATTATATGTAAAAAATGAAGTTAGTGAGTAGAAATTGTAATCTGAACAAAAATTGGGGTCTTACCAGTTGCCCGAATATAAAAAGGCAACATTAATATACATAAGTTTGTAAGGCCTCGAATGTTCGACTGGACGTCCGAACAGCCACAGCGAGACACAGAAACCACTTCTGGTAATCCAGGTGTCCCGCAAGAACTGGTGCCATAAAGTATCGCGGTTTTAGCGTTGGCGTGAACACCTATTTATACCCATCACGTAACAAAGCTCTGGCATTGAGAAAACGGTAACAGACACGTCATTATTCAAATAAATCACGTTCACAGAAGGTAACGAGCGATTCGCGGTCGAACACGCAACGTTCTTTTCCTTTGTCTTCTTACTTACTTACTTATAGTTGGGGTCTTGCAATTATTCCAATCCGCTATTGTTTTGCTAATATTTTCTTAACATGCCTTATGCATACGTAAATGACAATTACACAAGTCACACGAGGTGATAGTGAAAGTGTCTCTCCTTGAAATTTCCAGTCCGACCCTCTGTACATCGAGTCATGATGGAACACACGCATGCGATTGTCTCTCGTGGTTTACGGACGTTCGTTGAAAAAGTTGCACACATTTGTTAGAAAGTAACGAAACCTTTCACAGGTAATCAGATATATAATGCAACGTGTCCACGCGTCGATGCGTCCCGTCTAGGAATCGCAATCTCCACAACCGGCTGCTCGCGAGATTTTACTTTTACGTCACCAGCGAAGATTCGCTTTCAGGAAAATCACTTTTTGTTTCGCTACGCTTCGAAAGTGAAGGATATAAGTAGTTGTTCTAAACACCTTTCTCTCCAACGAAAAGTTTCGTTGCATAAACTAAATTATGCAATCGAATGAAACATATCAATTCGATACCATCCTTACGTAATACGGTTTATGCAATTTAGGAAACTTCTGTTACCATTAGTGAATAGACCATGGGTTTTATGAATATACCATTTAATCTGAAGAAATTGTTAATGCCTACAACTGTTCCAAATCTTCAGAAGCTGAACTTATACTGACTCACGAAAGTATTCGAACACCTTTTAAGGGAGTTCCATAGCTAATAAACCGTGCGAAACCGTGTTATAAAAGGGGAGCAAATCGTTAAAAGATTTCGTTTACAGATTTCCCTGGGATGTGTTTTGCTTCGACAAAATGCGCCACTATTGAACCAACGAAAACCTGGGACCTAACACCTTTCTGCGGTCGTTCGACGTGCGTCCCAGCCGACGACAACTCCGGTCGACTCTTCGAGCTCGTCGAAGACTGTGGACCACTGCCGAAAGCAAACCCGAAATGCAAGCTTTCGGAGAAGACGAACAAAACCGCCCCGTTCCCAGACTGCTGCCCCATCTTCGACTGCGAGGAGGGAGCGAAACTCGAGTACCCGGAAATCCCGACCCTGCCACCACCAACGGAAATCGTAGAGACTGAGGAAAAGACGCCGGAAGTAGCGCCGGCCAAAGCTTAAATTCGATGAACATGAAGATCGTGGCCTTTGCGAACTAAATTAATTGAATCGATCAACGAAAATCTTTCTAATCGTACTCTGAGGCAATCGTTCGTTTCTATTAAGGATTTGTTATCTCTTTTTCACGACGTTGCACGCTTATTCCGACACCAAAAGGCCACACGCTGCAACCCCCGGTCACTCTCCAATGAAATTAAATATTGCACGCATAGAATTCATGCGTTACTTTACGTTTCTCTAATACGAAATTGCAAAAAGCGCACCAAGCAGATTGACGTACAGTTGAAATTTCAAAGCGTACCCTAAATATCCGATGCTTCAGAATTTTATAATTTCATTTCGAATGATACATAATTGCCTCGTAGAAAATGAATTTGTTTTCTCTATCATTTACCAAAAGTAGGAAGTCTTGCGTATGTAATGTAAAAACATGTGTGATTGTAACTATATGTGATTAAATTAATATAATTGTAATTTAATTCAATATCTTGTCCTTTTTTATTAAATAAATAAATCACGTTCATGAAAAACAGTTCGAGAGTTGAACGAACCAATAGTATAATTATAAGGCAAAAGACAATAAATACAAGAAGACTTACTTTAAACATATGTGTGGAGAATTTAACAGGAACACTTCGCAATCTCTGATAAAATCTTTCTGCCTTCACTGATATTCTTCCGATTTTCATTAAACGTATAAAATGAATGAAAACTTCACTACATTCGGCATTCAGGATTCGCCTGCTTCGTCACTGACCACCATAAACGTATAAAAAAGCGATTTTGACATAGTAGCACCACCTAGCGAGGAATAGTGAAACCGGTTTACAGTCACTGTGTAGCAATAGCTGATATTTCAATCTTCAACATATAACCAGTCGATAATGTTGCATTGGACAAGCAGCAACGTTTCGGTCAGTTCCGGTGAATCGCGGTAATCGCGGTTAGTCGCATAACGCAACGTATCGTGATAATTCGTGGTCTTCGTGGTCATTCGTATTCGTGGTGAATCAGGCGAATGATATAGTGAATGTGCTGTTTCAAACATGGATAGGTTACTCGTTTAAAATAATATGTGGGAATTAGGGAACCGGAGTGTTGTCGCTTTAGTAAGTGCGTTGTGCGTGTGCGTAATTGTTTACACGGTTTCGGTGCCGATCTTCGTTCTTACGGTTTCGTTGGTTCTTACGATTTACGCGTGCTACTTCCTGATCATCAACGATAGTTTATTGTCGCAGCACGCGTTGGTCCTGTACGATTACTGCAAGCAGGTTTCGTCGAGTGTGCACGCGGGCATCGCCACTGTCGCTGGCCATACACGCCAACACGTTCATCGATTCACAGAAGCTGCGAAGCGTGGATTTCGAAGACTGCACCTAACCCAAATTCAACCTGGTATGGAAAGGCGTCGAGGATCGCACTACCAGCTGAGTAGCGAATTTTACTCAACTGGAAGGAATTCTGACGACTTTGCTAGATCAATCTCGCAGTTCAGCCCGATACGAAGAAATTCACAAAGTGCCCATACGCCGAATGATATTACTCCAAGAAACAAGCTTTCTCATGAGCCGACCGGTCGCGTGTTGTACGATCACACTTCCTTCGCCACGAAACATTCCTCGACGCCAATGTTCTCCTCGAGTAAAGAGGAATTGGAAAATCAAACAATCAATTTATTACCCACGAATCGCTCCCTAACAAGGAGAACATCTGGACATAATAATGTCTACTATAAAGAGGAATCTCCTACTTATTTTACTAACAATGATTCTTTGTGGGGCACAACTGTTAGTCCTAAACAAGGTATCAAGGGTATAGAAAGGAAAACTGTTCAGACAGTTGCCGGACCTTTATTAGCGACCACCAGATACAACATAGACCCAAAGTAAGTGATTGACTAATTAATCTGTTTGAATTTTAAAACATTCCCACTAACTGCTGTTTCTAATTTATTTTCAGAGTATACAACGATGTGCACTCTCCAGGACTCACAACCAGATTAACTAAATATGCTATGGAAGCTAACAGCAAATTAACTCATCAGCCTCAGTACCGCTTGGGACAGTTTCCAAAAGTAAATCTTAACGCTAGCCCAGTTCCGCTGATAAATCCAAAGTCTGTGAAAACCAGAACACCAATGACGGTTAGAGTCGCGCCGCCTAACAGTATCCGTTACTCGCCGCCGTCAAAGCAGAACAATTTGTCGAATTTGTGCCACTTGGACAACAGTTCTTTACCGTCTAGCGTCGCGCATTTGAGGGATATCTCGCTAAAGAGGCACGCGTCGAGAGACGACGTCGCCGAACTAACTAAAAAGCAACGAACGGACGGCCTGATTAGAAAGGAGGTCGAACCTCAGGATGAAATGAAGCAGAAAAGAAGCAGAGATGATTCCATGAGATCGGAGGAGGACAGTTCTCCGCAAAGTTCGGCTCGCCCGACGAAACGTACCAAAACGCCGTCGTGTTACGACATAATAAACTCACTCAGCTCCAGCAAGCACGTTGTTTCCGGCGTCAAAAGGAAAGCTAGTAAGTAGCCGATTTCTCTTTCGGTGTGAAGTGTAAATGAAATACCGAACGGACCTTCATTAAATTATTTTTACAGGAGATTTCTCGCGAAGTGGAACTCCAGACTTCGAGAAACATTTCAAATCTTTGGAACAGAGTCCTGACATTCAGACGTTATCACAGCTCCCGCATACAAGTCCCATGCGACCCAAAATCCCGAATCAAGAGAAGGAAAGCAACGTTGCCGATAAGAAATCGAAACATTCGCCGCTGAAGGGAATTTTGAAAAGCAGCAACGCGATCCCTGAGAACACGGTATCTACTAAACGTTCGAATATACAAAAGGACGAGAAAGATCGTCCGAGTGAGCAGCCAGCTGCTATTGAATCGTCAAGATTAACACACAAACTGTTTATGAGAGCGGAACCAGAGAGGAATGAAAAACTACGAATGCTGGTCGAGGAACAAGGCAACGTACGTGCGAAATTCACTACCGATGACGTGGAAGAAATAAAGAGAGAAGACATCGCGGATATGAGACAGACCAGTATGAAAGCTAGACTTCAAAGCATGTTCGACGCCATCTCCGGTAAAGGTAAGCGAATCTTACACAAAATTGTAAGGATCTTTCATTCATATGTCGTTTGCATTTGCAGCTGCTACTCGAATCGATCCAGATGTCGTGATCCAAGCGGAAGATGTGAACGCGGTCGAAGCGGACCAGCCTGTCTCGAATCCGGTCTCTTGCGCGACCCTCAATTCGTCGACCACAACCACCAATATTAATACAACTCCAATATCGACCTCGGTTATAGCTGTCAATCCTGGCGCCAGCGAATCGATCGTGAAGCATGTGGCTTTTAATTTGCCGACTAAGGAAACTCCAAATACAAACAGCGTTCAGTTCGCTGAAACGGTTCAAAGAAAAGATGAAACCGTTCCTACTTCTTTGATAAATAAGACAACCAACGTCACTTCCGGAGTTGTTTTCACAACGACGGAATCGAAAACTGAAAACGTATCGAAACCCGTCACTCGGATTACAAATACGATCAGCAGTGCGAGCGTACCGAATTTCGAATTCGGAAAACCGATTCCAGCTAAATCAACGACTGATACCTTGCCCACTTCTATAAATAATACTAACACTCCTTTGCTGGCGCCGTCGACAACTGCTAGTATTTTCAAGAACGTTATTCCTGCTGCTACACCCACATTTTCGACTACTCTTGTCAGTACGCCAGTAGCAAACGTAAGGAACGAAGGAATACAAAGTAACATGAAGATGAACGTCTCACAAAGTGAAGGAATCGTTTCAACTAGTTTGAACGCACCAATTGGAAATAGTACTATGATTGCCACGCCGACGCAGTCGAATCCAGTCAAACCAAGCGTGATACCCCTCGCTACTGCGGGAAAAGAGGAGAATACAAATTCTCCGTTCACCACTGGTATCGCAAGCACCGCTAGCTCGAGCGTTTCCTCGAGTGTTTCTTCGATCGCGACGACGACTATAAACTCGTCCACTTCCTTGTTCACATTCGGAAACAAATCCAATAGTCCATCAACTTTCGTATTTGGCACGAGTATAGGAAATGCTCCGCAAACTAGTGGAACGTTTGGAAATCCTATCTTTCAAGCAAGCATTGTTCCGACGATAAGTAATGCGACGACAACAACAAGTGCAACTAATAGTTTGCAATCTAATCCCGTTGCAACTACTGCTACGTTCGAATCGAGCGCAAAAACTACCGTTGGAACTACAGCAAATTCCACATTTTCTTTCCGACCTGCATCCACCACATCGGCATCTGATAACAAAATTGGTTTCTCGTTCGGTAACGCGGCTACGACAAATGCAAATGCAAAGACAGGAGTTTCGAATGCTGGTCTGTTCACTATGGGGAACAATAATTCTATTCCGTGCTTCGGAGCACCGTCGACGACCAGTGCCCCAGTTCAGTACGCCTCGAACCCTGGTTCTATATTCGCCAATACTTCATCGCCTGCGACTCCAATCTTCGGAACAGCAACGACAACTAATCAGTCGATCTTCAATGCACCTTCAAGCTTGAGCTCGACTACCTCCGCGTTTGTTGTACCAAAGATTACCACGCCAGTGTTTGGTTCGAGCGCAGCTACTACCACCGCAGGATTTGCGTCCACGAGTTCAATGCCAGTTTTTTCAAATCCAAATAATGAAACTTCATCTACCGTGATTAGTACCGCCTCCGTGCCTGTGTTTGGTTCGAACGCTAGCACCTCCGCTTCGACAAGCGGTGCTACTAATTTGTTCTCAGCTCCGGCCTCAGCTCCGTCTACCACGGCAACCAATATCTTCGGTCAAAGCTCGTCCACAATGACTAACTTCAAAAGCACGACGGGAGTATTTGGAAATAATACCGGATCGTCGGTATTCGGTTCGCTAGCAACGACAACAGCCACGTTCGGTACCTCGACTGTCGCCAGCAATCCAGTTATAACTACGTCCGCTTCTACTTCTGCTTTCGGTTCCACAAGCATTCCGGCGAGCACCGCGTCGATCCCAAACTTCGGCGCTACGAGCACCGTTGCCTCCGGCTTCAGATCGCAAAATCAGAATAAGCCGGGTCCGAGTTCCGCATCACAGAATTTCGGCGGTTCAATATTTGGAAGCGAGAACACAAGTGCACATATATTTGGAACATCGAATGGTACTGCGAGTCCATTCAGCTCTGCCTCGACGAGCAACGCGACGAATCCCACGTTCGGTGCTGCGAGCACAAGCGGATCGACGGCATTCGGTGATGCTAACAAAGTTCCCTCGTTCGGTGGCCAACCTTCTGCGTTTGGAGCCTCGACCTCAACTCCTGCCCCATCCGTTTTCGGAAACACCAGCAACGCAACTGGCGAGAATAATAATGCTTCTAGCGGTATATTCTCGTTCGGAGCGAACCAAAAGCCAGCTCAGCCAAGCACCACGTTTTCCTTCGGGAGTAACAATACCAGTAACAACGCCACCGCTTCGACTTCAGCACCTTTCCAATTTGGTACTCCGAATACAGGTAAGAGAATCTCAATCTTCGCTACGATATAAAACGCGTTATCACGCTTCAGTGGCTGATGTATTTGATTTAGGTGCAGGATTTAATTTCTCCGCACCGTCGACGACACCGTCTATAAACTTCGGAGCATCCAGTTCCACGGGGACGTTCAACGCCTCGGCGCCTGGTATGTTCAGTATCGGAAGCGGATCCACCGCGCCAAGATCCAGGAGCACGCGATCAAGAAAACTGAGATGATGGAGAACGTAGATCGTGCCCAGCATTCAGTCTTGAAGAGGATAATGTTCCATATTCGACGTTTTTATTAACCGTGTAATTTTAACAACGTAATTCAATTGCGACATCGTTTCAGTACGTGACACGCTCGCACCTTCGTTCGACCAAGAAACGATTTATCTTTTTTTTGACGCTACATTTTTCGTCGCTAAACCTACTCACCCTGTATGTATGTACATACGAGAATGTTAAAACAGATTTATCCATATTCTAACGTTTGCTTCAGTTTCATTGTACGCATAATACACTGACGAGAACCAAGAACGTTGTCAAAAGTGTGTTCATTTATAGACTTATTTTAAAGAATTATTATTTACTACGAGATCATGATTGGCAAAAAATAATGCATAGGACTTATAGAAGTTGCATCTTCCATAATATGTTTTAGATTGTTGTAAATTAGTTTTTGGTACCAATTTATATATATTTTGAAATGATTGTTTCTGAATGCTCGAATAATTCGGAGAAGTAGTTAAACTGCTTTTGTTTTTCGTTTCGTTTGTTTATCGACGTTTGAGATGAAAATAAGAGATTTATTAGGAGAATGAGATAAGTACAGGTAGACAAGTGAATGCGGAAGGATGTTCGATCGAGAAGCACAAAATCTGATGAAATTTAGCTTCGAAGAAGACAGCAACTTCTCTATACTTTCTTTTTGCAATTGGAAGAAAATATGATGGACAAAGAATCCTGCGAAGGGAAGTCTTGACTGCATCGCCGTGTTCTTAAAATATATCTACTACGTGCGATTATTTTTTTCTACACTTACAGGCAGATGTATTTCTTTAGATAATTGTAAAGTTTAAGAAATATTAGATATATGAATATCAATAGCGTTACGTTTAACACTCTGACGTTATCGTACTCTTTCCTCCTTACAACTCCCATCCTTCAAAAGTGTACATAGGCCGGTATTCAGAGTTCTTACCTATATTTAAGATCGTCTTAAGCATTTGCTTATGTCTCTGTTTCCTGTACAAGACGGGCTAGAAATATGGGATAGACATGGATAGCAAATACTTCAGACAATCTTAAGAATAAGCAACGACTCTGAATACTGGCCATTAAGTAAGCGGCTACGTGCTGCCCTTTGCAACGATTCGATGATTAAATGATGTGTAGGTAAGTACCTTAGTTAAAAGTCAAATTTACCCGTAACCTAATTATTATTAAGTTCAAATCGTAGTCGTAACATCCATTTCCGCTTTAAAGAAAGCCGGTCGATTTTGGCGGTAAGCGGAATTCGAGGCGAATAAAGATCACTATTAAAATTTAAAATGCAGAAGAGGCGAATGAAGCTGAGGGAACGAGAGGCTCCTATGCCTATTTTGTTTAAGATAAGCATAAAGTAGAACAATTGGTACTTAGCAACTTGTTACTCGATAGGATCGAGGGGATCGAGAGCGCGAACAAGACAGAACGAGAGGGTCGGAGGATCGCGAGCGCGAGGGAACGAGCGAGCGAGCAAGAAACCGAGGAAGTAACGCGCGCGTTGCGTCATCATCGTTCCGTGAAACTCGGTCCACGATTTGTTGAGCGGCCGGGTTTGTTTGCCAGCCGACCAATCGGAGGGATCGTTAGACGGGAAGGATGTTTGCACGGTCGCCTGGAGGCGCAGCCATGTTGGGAACATTAGAAGGGAACCAACACCACGACCAGAAAGACGGTAACATCTAGGTTCGGCAGCGGCGTGTCTTAACACCTTAACACCACCACCATGGCTGACCCGGAAAAACAGCCCGAACAACCAAAGGCTGTCCAGCTGAAGCTGGTCATTGGTGAGTGAAACCATGCATTTAGCCTAGACATCGCCCCGCGTGAATTTCGCCGGTGTATTGGGTTCAACGGAATGGGGACGGGTTCGCGTTTCCGTAGGAATGTCCGCGTGCGATAATGGCGTCTAGGGGAGCAACAGACATGGTTCAGCCATGTGGCATGTGCTCTCCACGCAACCCGGCTTTTCGTTCTACTCTTCTCTTCCTTTCGTCTCCTCTCCCCTGTTTGCTACATTTCAAAAGTCATCCCGCATGCGGCACCGAAATTCTTTGTATTCTGCCTACCCTTGTTTTGTTCCCGTTCCCGCTTTTCTTCGACTCTCAGCAAAACGTTTTGCACGCGCTATTGGTTTATGGGTGCGCTACATATCTATCCAACCACCGGCACACGGACACATGGTGATTCATGGAAACACCTACGTACATAACGTGGAAAAGACGCTTCCTAAGTTTACTTACTCGTCTCCCATCCCCATTTCCCTTTTTCCTTGTCTCCACTTTCCGGTTTGCATCGTAACCGTACACGAGATATCTAGTAAGGAAACGTACAAATTCGTGCTTACATACCGCCTAGCTTCTGGAAATTTCTCCTACCCCTTTTCCGAAACCATTTTGACGCGTTTTTCGTAAATCGAGCACGGCTCTAATTACGTAAGTTTCAGGTTATATTCGTTAATGTTCTTTCTCTCTCGATTCATTTTCCAAGCGAGTCGTGCCGTGTTCCCATTCTCGCGGACAGTCGTTTCCCGCGGGTAATGAAACCACGATTTCACAGAACCGTGCATAAAGGACAAGAATCGAATCAACACGTGCACGCATAGATCCAAGACTTTGCTTTTCGTCATATTCATTATTAAATGTTAATGTGCAATTCTGTGTAATAACGAATTGTAAAATGTAGAAGCCCTGGTTTAAAAATTAGAGGAACGATTTAGCTTCATATAAAGCAAACCGTTTCTCGTAAACGTTTTTTTCTTAGATCAAAGATCTTTAACTTAACGATTCAAATTAATTTTCTAATCAGCGAAAAGAGAGAGCGAAAATATGAACACCTGAGTTTTCGCGTGTGATAATGAATAACACGTTGAAGAAGCAAACAATGAGCGAACCGTTCGTCCATAACTTGTAAACACAGACTCGTTCAAATAAGTGATTATATGTATAAACACAATAGCATTGTACATCATAAATAGAACTTTTTCATCATTAACCGGGTCTGGTATCGAGCGATCGTTCTGTAAGGGAGACGGGATGGATAACATAATGCGGCGTCGCGTATGTATACTTTCGGTTCCACACGTCTGAAAGAGCAGCGTGCTCTCAAGACGACCGGTTAATCGAATTTCAGAACGCGTTTATCAAATAATGCGGCGCGCAACGTTAAGTAGTAGATATCTAATTAGATATGTTTCGCTTTTGTTGGGTTTCAGCTAACAAAGTGACCGGGACTGTAAAATGGTTCAACGTGAAGAGTGGCTATGGATTTATCAACAGGTTAGTAATTTCTTTTTATATGATTTTTTTTTATTTATCGTTACCTTCCATCGGGAAGGTGCATCTCTCTTGTTCCGTGACAACGGATTTTAACCGAGACTATCGGTTCCAAGGTGATTACTCTAGTTCGCGAGCCGAGCTTTTCCTGGCGCGAGTTCGCACGTAACCTCGACCCGGACGTTCTAACGCTAGCGAAATAGATGCTTCGCTCGGCACGTGCACTCCCGAACCTATCTTCGGCTATTTCTAGCGGTTCTAACTTCGCACTCACACCCGCTTCGCTTTTCTCTTTCCTTCCCTTTCTTCGCTTTCCTTTTATACGTCCCTGAGTAATACGCTATTTTGAAACAAGAAAATTATTAGAAGACGGAAACGAAGAATAATAAAGTTGCTTCCTTTTATGAACGATTCTTAGAAAAATGTTTGTAATATTTCTCTTGATACCCCATAGTGGTATGCGTAGATAGGAAATGGACGTAGTATGTATTTGGATAGCAGCCAAATGTATTTCTCGTTTGCATGCGACGACGGGGCGATTCGCATCGCGCCGTATCGCCACCGATCATTCGCGCCGCTGTTCGCGTCGTTTACCGATCGGTCGGTTAATTCCACTACCGGTGGCACAGCAAACGTCCAGATGACCATTGGACCGAGCAATTACGAGTCGTTAGCTCGATCCTAGTTTCAAGACGAACATGAAACATGCCACGTGCTTATATTTTGTTGCTTGTAGAAAGTAGCGTTTAATTTTCGTTCAAATCTGTTTCAGGAACGACACCAAGGAGGATGTGTTCGTTCATCAAGTGAGTAGATACCTTTTTCTTTCGTTAAATAATTGTCTAGGAGAACGCGATTCGAGTTGAGTTAATTTGTTATAGTCGGCCATCGTGAAGAACAATCCGAGGAAGGCTGTACGCAGCGTCGGTGACGGAGAAGTGGTCGAATTCGACGTGGTGATAGGCGAAAAGGGTCACGAAGCGGCCAATGTTACCGGTCCATCCGGGGAAGCGGTAAAAGGTTCACCCTACGCTGCCGATAAGCGTCGCGGATACCGCGGAGTTCATTGGTACATCAATCAAAGACGTGGGAACGCTCGGGCTCAACGCAGACCTCGGGAAGGTCAGGACGGTTACGAAGCCGGTGAGTAATCAGCGCGATTTCCGTCTCTTGTTAACCGACAAGATAAATCGACTACAGATTTTCATAAAAAGTAGAACGTTTACGATATCAATTTGTTTAGTTCAATTTAGATAGTATCTTGTTTTACCAAAGAGTTTATACGTGGTAAGATGTAAAATGCGTTGTTACAGGTGAGGGTCAACCCGGAGACGAAGTGATCGTTGGCGAGGGTGGCGGGCAGCAGCAGCGACGTTACAGGGTTCGCCGACAATACGATGGTTATTATCGCGGCTCGCGTCGCTCTGGGCCACCGGCGCAACAGCAAGGCGACAAGTCCGGCGAGGGTGGCGAACAGGGTGGAGAGTCTGCCGGCGAAGGTGGAATGCCTCGAGGTGGCGGCCGCGGACGTGGCGGGCCCTCTCGCCGCTTCTTCCGTCGCAACTTCCGTGGTGGAAGAGGCGGTGGTCCTCCGCGACGTCCTCGCAGCCAGGACAACCAAGTAAAAGTCCGTAGCAATTTCCTTTCTCGCTCTATATCATCTTAATTCACCTCTCTGTTCACTTTTATTATCCACTGATTTCTCGAATCGATTTATCATTCATCGTTAGTCGCCTCTCGTTTCGAACGTGATTTTTCTCTGCTATTACACTCGACCTGGCGACCTGGCGGTCCTGCATGCTAGTTCTTGTCATCGATTATTATCTAAAGATCTTTCTGCTAGACACGAATCGTTCTCGACGTTCTCATGATAGATTTATACCGATTTACACCGCACGTTTCGAGTAATAATTCGAATTGGATCCGATTAGAAAAGCTAGCCTGGGCTCTATCTTTATTCTCTATACTTTATACATCGAAGATCTTTAGTTTTCCTTGTACACTTGTAAATACTCGCATCATCAACGGATCGCACATACTCTACGCGTTCATTACCTATAATCTTTTTTCCACTCGTTCACCTCGTTTCCTTCTCCATTCGGATATTTATTATTTATTATACGTGCTTGTTTCAACATTTTTGTAAATACACCAGGAATCGCGAGTATTTCGGTCCGTTGACGAATCTCTGGCGTAGAGCTTCGCGCCTCGTGCGCGCACACACACACACTATTGCACGTATCTTTTTGTACTCTTTTGCAGTCGGAGCAGAAGTCGGATGCACCTAATGATAAGGATGCACCTGCCGCTGCCCCTGCTCCACAGGTAACGTGGCTTTATTTTTCTCTCTTTCCCGGTACATACATCGTGTGCAGCCTTCCCCTTCGATTGCATATACACCGCTTTATTCGTTTTTTATCCTTAACACTCGCTTCTAATCGTTCTTCAGTTTCGCATCTTACACTTCACCCTTTTTTCTTTACGGATGTGTTGATTTGTTCGTACTCTCTAGTGCCTCTATAATCCTCTAGCGTGTTCCTCCCAGTTGCATCGAATCGTGACGTCTCTCATCGCCAGCTTGTTAACCGTTTCGTTGCTGTGATTGTTAACGGTATTTTGGTGACGTAAGATCGATTTCATTTGGCTTGCAGGAAAGTCAGCCGGTCCAAAACACCACCACCGAGAGCACTGCTTAACCAAGAGTAATGATATCACTACAATAAAAAAAACACTCCTTTTAATATATAACACCAACACCCGTTATACACCGAGCAACAGCAGCAGCAGCAGCAGCAGCAACAAAGCAACAACATAACATAACAATCTAAAAAAGTAAAAAAAAAAATAACAAAAACAAAAAAACAAAAACGTAAAGCGAAGAAGAGAAATTGGCGTGACACCGCTCCACGCTCTTCCCACCAATCGGGAGAAACTATTTCGAAACACGCGTATGAAGATCGTGGATCGACTACCGAGCGAAGCTAGCGAACATTTTAATCGGACTTACTGCCGCGCGACAGTTTTGTACCAGGAAAAAATTTTTTAGATTCCCCGTGCGATTCTCTTTAGCTGGGTGATAGTAACGTAGTCGAGCCGCGCGCGGTTTTGCAATTTCGCGACTAGGGGGATGATCGTGTGCACGGCGGCGGTGATGAAGGGGTAACGAGAATTGCGACTGCGACGAATTGTTTTGGTGTACGCGAAAAGATTGGACAGGGCGGCGATCAGGCCAATTAGAGAACAGTGCGGAAGGGAGAAGCGACGAAAGGCGAAGAGAAGAAATCACGATGATGGGATATGCACGTACGAACGTCGATCAGGCGAAAGTGGTAATTTTTGTTCTTGTTTTTTGCGTATTCTCATTAAGTTTCATAATGTTTTTAATTTTTCCGCAACGGAACGAATTCGATCGTTTTATGCATGTATACGTACATGTGTTCACGCACGTACATATATATGCATAAAAATATATATATATATATAAATATATATTGTAATATCTGTGTCTTTGAGTTTGTAATGCGATGCACGCAGAATTTTTCTCTTGTCCGTCTATGGTACCGTATTTGGTAAACGCTTGCCAGTGATCGTGCCGACTTCATCATTTTAGTTTCACTCGAAATTGTTCCGTTTACAATCTTTTTTTTTTCGTTTTTGTAACGCGATTCTTTCGAACAAAATCTGTCGTGTCGCTTGTGTCCTTTCGGCCCCTGTCTTCTTCCTTTTTCTTAATTTTCTTCTCAAAGTGCACAGCTTACACCATGAATCGAAACGCGAGAATTATATCGCAATTATACGCGCGATAGCAGCTCCTGAAAAAATTCTCTGCCCGATTGTGTTTTCTGCCAAAATCAAGAAATGAAATGGAGAAGTAACGCGATCGGTGCCCCTGGTGGGTGTCGTATGAAAAATCAGATTAATAAGGAAACATTTGTCCGACGATTAGTAAACGATATTAATCGCGCGTTACGAATTGACCGTGAATCGGTTCGACTCTTTTCCCTGTCAAACTCCGAATCGCATATTCGGAGATCCCGGAATTTCGATGCCGCGACTCGATTGACGATACAAACCTGCCGGTTTGTCAACGGAACGCGTCACACGAAATTGAGTGATGAATGAGAGAGAGAGAGAGAGAGAGAGAATGGGAGATAGAACGAGAAGTAACGGTGGATGCAATAACGCGAGAAGACTAAAGAAATTTATACGGTTTTGCTTGATGGAAGCATTTTTTAAATTTTAGTATGTAGTTCTGTCGTCGGAAAATAAAATGTATACGTTTCATTTCTCCAAAATTTGACACTTTCAAATTCAACGCGTATCTTGTCGATTATTATTTCGAGCGTACGAGATCCGTTTCGTTTTCTGTGTCCCTGTCTTCGTCGCAATCGTCGTTGGTCGCTATTGTCGTTGTCCATAGTCATAGTCGTCCCAAGATAAAAGTTTTCGCGGCGCGTTTATTACAATAGAAACGGGAGGGGCGGGAGGGGGAGTACGCCTGGCGTAAAACGAGGTAACGTGCGTTCGCGTTCTGAAACGCAGTCGATAGGAAAAAACGGTAGATGTGCATTACTCGATCGAAATTAGCGCGAACGAGCGTTACCGTGAGAAACGAATTGGAAATTTAAGAGGCCGCGAAAGGCAGTCGCGAGAACAAAGGAGGTATGCGACTATTTGGTGTGGAACATTGTAACTGAATGGGAAAAAAGAACAATGCATGTGTTGATAGTGAACATTGGAAAATTAAAACGAAACAGAATAGAAACGACGAAAGTGTAAGAAAAATCGGACTAGCGTACGCGCGCGCCCGTGCCCGCGCGCGGATTGTACAGGTGATTTTCGATGTTGGAAGTCGGTCTCGTTTTGGGGTGAACAGCGAGAACGAGGGAAATTAGGATCGGACGGTCTCGTTTCGTCTCTAGAAATGCCGGTCTTTCGTATAACACGAGAGCGAGAGGATATCACTGAATACCAGTCGATACGACAGTCAATTAGTTTTAATTCAGTTTCCCGAGAGGAGAGATCGAGATGAAAATACCGCTGTACACCATCCTGGATTACATAGGGTGGTCTTGCTGGCCGGGTCGAAATACCAGAAAAGAAGAAGACACCTGTATCTTGAAAAAAAAGGAACAAGCGCGTGATTTAATTACGACTAAAAAAAACAGACGCGGACAACGCGCGTCCACCGACTGAAATCGCCCCGATCCATCCTCCTTTCCTCGCCCTCCCATCCGCTCATCTCTAACCCATTTTGATCCTGTTCCATCCCTAATCGCATGCCCATCTTTTTAACGACCGACAGCCCACTCTTCGAACCCAGTGAATTTTGTACCGAAACGTGAAACTTTGAAAAGCTACTTTCATATATGGAATTTAATTTTTTCACGAAACATGTGCATTATAAAAAATAAATGCCAAAAAAATCGCAAAACTCACGAACCGAACGTTGATATTGTTTCTTCGCCGGCACCTACCTACCTCCTCCTTCGCCCACTCGCATTTCTGGGTTCTCTTAATTTAGTTCACTTCGTTTAACTGAATTTATTCAGGAAAGGAAACCTGTAAGTAAAAAGTAACGACAAGATAATAAATAGAGAGAGATAGAAGATCGATACAGTTTTTACGCTAAAACTTTGAGCCCATGAAACATTTGAGAACCTCAAAGCGATTCGATGCGATAGACGTTTCCTTCGTCAGCCATGCAGGCACTCGCCGCGATCTCGGCTAAATGAGTGTCTTTATGAGGCGGCACCGCGACGCTATGGAAACGTTTCAAAGCTTCAAAAAATATCTCCAGGGCCTTTTCAGGCTTCTCTTCCTCCATAGCGGCGAAACCGCGTGCGTACGACTCTTCGCATTCACGAACACGCTCCACCGGATCTCGTAACTCCACTTTCCGCCTGCAGGACGGACACTCAATGGGCTTGTTAGGATCCCGTGGCTTCCGGTGAAACTTCGAACACCCTTCGGTTGGACATCTGCCGTGGAAAACAATTTTTCATTGTATTATCTCTACTGACAGGGGTAACTGAAAAAAATCTGACCTGAGTCTAACGTGGTCGTTGGTCAGGGCCTCGAAACGAGGCCAGTTCTCGCGACACGCCTTGCACTCGCAGTAAAACCAATACCTTCCCGTCAAAGTTTTTCTCCGCTCTTCCAAACTTCGCTTTGTAAATATCGGCCCATAGTTCTCAGCGACCACGTCTCCCGGTTGCAGGCTGCGAGTCGCTCGGATAACGATACTCCGACCGATAAAATACCTGAAAACAAACGCATTCCACGATGGAAAACTATGATTTATCATTTATTCAAATTATGGGGAAACAAGAGAGATTATATGATAATCTCGGGTACCTGGTAACCGCTGGATAGCAATCGTGATTGAAGCGAGCAACCGTAGGGTAGATAGCCACGCCGATGTAATTGGGTCTGCTGCCACGAAAACGATGCTCTGCTCCGAATCGCGTCTCAAACACCTCGTGAGCGTTGAACTGTAATAACTGAAGATGCCTCAACAATAGACCCCCTATCGCGATCTCCTCTTCGTTTGGGATTTCTGGAACGAAAGATGCGATTCCTCGTTTCACCGAAGAGTAAAGGTCAAAGGGATTCCTAATTCCTACCGTCGTCTCTCGTCGGTGACTCGAAGAAACCGACCCTTTGCAAACACTTGAGGAGGAACGCTGCCATCAGGGACCTCTCAAAAAAATCGGCAGCCGTTCTTCGTTTCTCGTGCGAAACGAGATCATACACTTTCATATCGATTTCATCTTCTTCCACCTTCTCATTCTGATCTTGCTCGCGCCTCGATTCTTGCAATTTCTTCTTTCTCGAGCGACGTTTCGCCGATTTGCTCAGCTTCGATTGGCACAAGCTTTGATCCTCGTTCTTCAACGCTTTGCACGGATTTAACGCATTGCTGATCTTCAAGCACTTGTCCACTTGACATTGCGTTGCCATACGCAATGCAAGCATGCTTAAAACGCTCATTCCCGAGCCTATGAGCAGAGCCAGAATCTTGCACTCGTATTTGTGATAACTGGCCACAGCTGTGTCTCTGCATTTTCTATTGCAAAATGCAACGCTGCTGCAATCGGGGCAGCCTACTGGAGCTTTGAATCTGAAACGATTTCACGTGATTAACAAATACAATACATATGCAAATATCTTGCAAATAATTGTATGCACATTTTTTAAAGAATAGGAAAAAATGACGTTCGCCCTCATACTTGCTGCGAACCATTAATAAAATTAATGAATGACTATAATTTGAAGAAGAAGTGACTCACACCTATCGAAACAGTGGTGGCAATGAGTACCGAAAAACTCAGGTAACAGAGTGGCAGCGTAAGGTGGCTCGACGACTAATCGATCACCGGGATCGATGCAATCGGCCGCGATCGCACGTTTTCCCGCAGTCTCCGTTTCTTCAATTTTCAACAGAGCCGAGGCCGAAGGTAGCTGGGGATTCTCGCCACCGCTGAGTCCTATAATTGCAAACCCATGACCCAAGTGCCTATTGCCTCGCAAATATCTTAAATTATCAATTGTCAATTGTCTTGATTAAAAAATTATAATAAATCAAATAAAGTACAGTAATATCCGGATATATGGACGTGAGTCATCCCCGCCAATTCTTGGAAGTGCTAACTCGAGGCTCGTGTCGAGTCTTATCTATGTTTATTCTTCTTCTCTCTATATTGAGGAATCAGATTCATTCTTTTGACGATTAGTCAGAAAATGTATGAGAATTACAATAAAATCGTATAGAATATTATTTGTAAGTAATTGTAGTACCTACAACTTTTGTTTAAAACAGGCATGTAAAACTCATATGATATTACGGGTTACATGATCTAGTTTGTATTAAGGATGTATTGGCTATACGGTCTATCCCAAATATTTATGTACCTTAGAAAAACGCATTTGCTATAATTAAAAAGAAATCAGACGTCGGAAGAACAAAGCTAATAATACATAGCTACGTCCTAAAAAGTATAGAAGGAAACATCCAATTAATTATTGACGATGGCGAAATGTTTCTTATACAAAAGTTGTAGGTCCTGACGTCCTCACAAGAAAGATTTGATGAATTTTCCTTCTAATTTCGATATTTAACGAGTTAAGTATGATTATATGGCATTTTATTAGCATTGACGAAATCCGACCATTCCACCGTCGAAACAGCGAACTTTTGACAAAAATTTTCGTTTTTCCTCAATAACTCCTAAACCATTGGAGATACGGGAAAATTGCATAGGACCTTTCTTGTAGAGGACGACGAGATCTACAATTTCCGTAT